GAACCGGAAGCTTGGATGTGTGGGACAGACTGGATGGTGTCCATGGGGAGAGGAGGAGGGTGACTGGGTAAAGAAGGTGAAAACTTTAGCTGAAGAGCATGTGTGCTTATCCTGTGGACACTGACAATACTGTGGTGAAGCCCAAGGGAGCAGGAAACAGGGGAGAGGGGAGAGAGAAGAGGGACACCTGCAAACATTAAAATGTTTTAATAAAATAAAAATAAAAACTGTAAAAAAGGGGAATATTTCAAACAAATATATATGGTAAAAATTTGCTTTTCATTTTCAGGTGTTATGAATTATATCTATGATTCTGTTGAATTTCAAAATCACATGAAAAATATTAGGATATTTAGTTTCACTCAAATTAAGTGTGGTTAAGAAGACATAATAATGTAAAAATCTTAAATTTTCTCAAATATTATATGTATAGGTTATTGAAATCCTAATTAAAACTGAGAATATAGTTATTTTTTGAAGCTAGGCAAGAGAATTTTGTGTTGTTGTTTTATGAAACTTAGTTGAGAAGATTTTGAAATTGCAAAACAGAAAATTGGACTCATTTGAAATTGAAAAATACAAAACTAATAGAGAAAACATTAAGATTAATGGAAAATATAAGATAATTTTGGATATGTAAAACACTAAATGTATAAAAAGATAAAATAAATCAATTAAGAAAAGTTGGATTATTCAACAAGTGACACTAGAAACATTGGATAAGTATGTTCAAGGATTTTTCAAATTAGATCTTCATTTTGTAACATAAATTTCCATTGGGATAAGAGTTTTGAGGTAAGAAAAGGAATCATAAACAGATTTTTAAAGCATATAAACATTGGAAGAAATATACAAGTGAAAAGATAGCATGTTTGATTTTGTTTTAAAGCATTTCCCCTATAGACCTTTTCACATAAAGTTTTCTTCCATCCATATATATATTCATATTAGAACATTCGTGATTAATGTTAAAAAGCAGGATACAAATATCTATAATAATTAAAGTGTAATATTCTGATTAGATTGGACATCCTTCCAGGACGATGCTGGGATTGCAGCTGCCACTGCTGCGAGGGAGGGATCCAGGCAGCTGGATGGGAAGGCGAACTCTTGCACGAATTTCATGCATCAGGTTTCTAGTATATACATAACATGGTATAATCCCAATTTTACCCAAAAAATACACATAAGAATGTGGATGAGTTTTATCTTCAATAACCTTTTATCTTTAATAAGGTGATTTTTGTCTTCAATAAACTTTTATATTTAAATATCTATCAATTTACACTGTTTAAAGATGATCCTAAGGTTAAACATGAGATAAAGACACAAAACACATTGAGAAAGTAAAATATCTCCTGAAAAGTTTCCTCCAATTAAAGAGCTCAAAAGTCCAAAACTTAACACTTACAGCATCACTCTCATCACACTGGGTTTCTGAGATTGAATCAGTATCTACAGCATCTTTTTCCATAGAAGAAATGCTGATTTTGTCCAATTCAGTTTCTATTTCTTCATTGATCTTTGTGTCATTAGCATCTTCCATCATCTTTACAATAAATCACAGAACTAATCAAAGAAAATTAAAGAGGCTAATATGCTAATACAAATTGTGGGTTCTTTAATGTGTCATAATAATCCAACATTATTCTATATGCACATTTTAGTTTAACAAATGTTTATCACACCTGATCATGTCTGTACCATATATTTAAGAACAATGTTTGACTACAAAATGGTAGTCAAACCATTTCCCTAGACTTTAATTACTCTAAGGGAAAAATTACATAGAATAAGCTGGCTTGCCTTCCTGAACCAAGAAACTTCACAGAAAAACTCATCATAATAGAAATGATTAATGGAAAAATGCATATGATCAGCTTGAATATTCAGAGATTAAAATACAAGAGAACAACCTAAGTCTATATATGGGGAAAATATAAGGTTAGTTTCTATTCATTAACTCACGAGTTGTTAATTTTAGCAGAGAGTGCAGTGTTTTGCAACAATATATGTAATATTGGATAATTATGGCATGTAAAATCAAATTTATTTCATTTATATCTTTTTTAAATATATTTTATTGATTTCAGAGAGGAAGGGAGAGGGAGAAAGAGTTAGAAAAATCAATGATGAAAGGAAATCATTAATTGGCTGCCTCCTGCATGCTCCCGACTGGGGATTGAGTCATGTGCCCTGACCTGGAATCAAACCATGATCTCCTGGTTCATAGGTCAATGCTCAATCATTGTACCATGCCAGATGGGCCATTTAAATCTTTAATACTTATATTTCAGTATAACTTCATGTCATCATCATCATCATCATCATATCATTAGCTTCCAAGTATTAAGTAGCTGTGACAAGGCAGGCACCAGAAGACATTTGTAAAATGGATAATCTTCAGAGTAACTTAAAAGGTTAAAGCTCATGAGAGTCATTGTATAGATGAGAACACTCAGGTTTGAAGAGAGAACTTAACTGTCCATAGCCATTACATTAATAAGTAATGGGGGCAGGATCATAATGCAGACATCCTGAATTCAAATCCTGTTCTTCATTACCAAATGGTCCCCAAGCTCAAGCTATTCATCTGCTCAGCAATCCTTCTGAACATCTCCTTTTCTAATAATCTTAAAATTATTTATGATAACCCATTAGCAGATCAAAAAGTTAATTTAGTGCCTCTTGATTATCAAGTATTAATGACAGGATAGGATAGAAAATATTAAAATAGGCCAGGAAAAAAAAAACCCTACAATTACACTATATATGCTAAAGATTTGTTTAAAAAACAAACATGTTTCTAAAGAATGTATGTGTGCTTGAATTACAATGTAACCTATTTTTTGTTGTTTTATTGTGGCTCTTGGTAGAAATAATTTTGAAAATAACTGTACTAGTCAGCTATTATTTTATTTTAGAGACTATTCCGAACTTTCATTCCTTCCTCAAGTCCCTGGCCTTTCGATCTCTGAACTCTGTCTTCTTGGATTTGCCTGCCTCCCTCTCTTCCTTCTTCCTTCTCTCCCTCTCTCCCTCTTTTCCCTTCCCTCCCTTCCCCTTTTTTTTTTTTTTTTTTTTTTGCCTTATTTTACTCATCCATCTCAAAATCAGCTTTTTTGGTGGATTCAAGATGGAATTATGCTGAGAGACCAAAGCATGAGATACTTTAGGATTCCATTTCTATAACATTTTTACATGCCACAATTTTATAAATTGAGAACATATAAGTGGTTGATAAGAGTTGGGAGTTGATTGTGTTGGAAGAAGATGGTTATGATGATAAAAGGCCAACATGAGAGATCCTTATAATGTTGGAACTGTTCAGTATCTTTATGGTGGTACTAGATCAGTGAATCTATTCAGATAATAAAAATTATATAGGACATATACACATACAAATAAGTACAAGTAAAGCAGATTGCATCAATATAAATATCCTGGTCATGAAATTATAATATAGTTTACAAAATATTATCACTGAGAGACACTGCACAGTGTATACAAGGCTGCATTTGTGTACAAGTATTATTTTTTAAGGCTGCATGTGAATCTACAATTACACCACTAAAGTGTATAGATATCCTACGTACTCAATAGGAAAACAGATAAATATAATGCAGCCAGGGAATAGAATACTATACTAGTTTTTCAGTAAAAATAAGCACACTTACTATCCTCCTCAGGAAATATAGCCACAGAGAAATAATTTTAAAATGGCAGGTATCAGAGAGATAGGCAGAGTAATATCACTCTTATGTAACCACACACACCCTTTATTTTTAGACAGAAACATGCTGGGAGGCATTGAGGAACTTTTGATTTTCATTTCATACCTTTATGTTGAGTGATTTTTTAAATAATAAATATGCAGTACTTTCATAATTTTAAAAGCTAGTTAAAAATACTCAGTTTATCCACAACCTTTCTCACCTAAAGGAGAACAAAACACCACCACTGGTGCAAAATGTGATTCTGTAATCAAACCAACTTAAAGTGCAATTCAAAGGTTAGGTGAAACTTTTTTTTAAAACCTAATATAAAGCAGAATACACAGGTATACAAAACGTTATTTAGAAAGACAGGAAACTAGGGGAAAGGTAAGAGTCACTTCCACTATATGTCTCTCTCTGCTCATCTGCTGATCGTTAGATCAGCCCTGTCCAACTACATATTCGAGCACATTTGTAATCTTAAATTTTCTAGTTAGTAGCAACGTTTTAAGAAATAAAGAGAAACAGGTGAAGTTAACTTCAATAATATATTTTATGTAACTTATTTTATCCAAAATAGTATTTCAACATGTAATCAGTTAAAAACTGTTATGAAGTTCAACCTAAAAAGGCTACATTCTTGTTTGCCAACTAAGTAGTCAACATCTGGTGTGCATTGTACACCTACAGCACATTTCAACGCGGACTGGCTGCATTTCAAACCCTCAACCGCTTCCTTTAGCTGGCAGGTGAGTGCAGCCCTAGACTGATTATGACATGGCGACAGCAAACATTTGAAGTTTATATTGAATCACTTAGAATTGGCTAAAGCCGCTAAACGTGGTAAATCTTAAGTAACTCTACCTTTCAACCATAGTTCAACTATAATAAAAGGGGAGCGAAATCTACTTTTAAAAAGTAACCAAATTTATGTACGAAAAAAATAGACTAAGAGAAAGAATAGAGAAGAAGGGAGTGCGGAAGGCAGAGCACCTTCATTGAGGGAAGGTTAGTCAGAGCAGATCAAGTTTGACTAAGCCACCAAAATGCCCCAAAGTGAGGGGAGCCTGGAGCCTGGAGCCTCGCGCAGCGGCTCGCGGCCCCTCCTCTCTTGCCCTGAAGCCGGTCAGGACCCAGAGGCTCCGGCTCCTCTGCGCTCCCGCGGCGCTGCCTCCTTCCCACCACGACCCCACCTTGGGGGCCAAGCCTTGGCGGGGGGCGACCTCGCAGGGGAGGTCGCCTTTTGGGGGGCCCGGTGTGAGTGACCCCAGCAGGGGGTAACCCACCAGCAGCTAAATCCCTCCATCTAGTGGAAGAGAGCGCCTGGAGAAACCAAACAAACTGTAACCACGGCAACAGCCAATCCCCAGGCAGGTGGGCCGCGTTTTGTACGGGTGCTCCAGCAGGACAAACTACTTCCTTCTGCAATTAGCATGAAGGCTGCATCTCAGGAGCTGGATGAGGAACTTAGGTAGATGTTAATATTTAAGTCATTTTGGAAAGTAGTTAACAAAGAACTTTATATTGTTTCTGATCTACCTATACTTATTACTTGCATATAATCAATGTTAAATTGCCTTTGTTCATTCCACAAAAACTTAATCCTGAATAGTGACTTATGGGGTCGGAATTTGAAAGGGAAGCCAATAAATTGTTTGCCTTCCATCACAGCAATTTCTTTAAAAACAAACAAACAAACAAAAGTAAATTATCACTCATTGTCTATAAAAAAATCCTCTAAATGAATGAGTTAGTGGAGTGAGAAATTAGGAAACTTATTTTCTAATTGTTTTACTGTAAAATATTGACGTGATTCTCACTGTTTTAATATTAAATTTTAATTTTATGTATAAATCATGTGATTTAACTTTTACTTAAAATTAATCAAAGATTTTTGTGTGGAACAAATATATAGAAAACAAATGTGAAAGTTAATTTTAGTTAGTAACAGGTATTTCTAATTTTTATTGTTTTTAAGTTTGCAAACAAAGAATTAAATTCCAAGAGGAAGTGGCTATGCATAATTGCAAAAGATATCTGACATACAGTAAGCTAAGAGCAAACATTTAATTGAGCCTTTGAAAGAAAATAGACTCTATTGCTTGGTAACAATACCATAGTAAACTTGTATTGCATCAACTTAAGAATTAATAACATAAAGTGAGAAATCAGTAGAGTTTTGATATTAAAAAACATGTTAATGCCTCATTCAAAAAAGATGATTTTCAAAACTAAACTATTCCTGGTTTTAGATCTAATTAAGTTTAATATTTTCATTATCAAAGTTCATGCTAAAATGCACCCCCCCTTTTTTTTTAGTTTAGTTTTGTGGCTGATTTATAGACTATTCAAACTCTTCACTTATAATGGCCAGACTAGCGTATGATGTTGAAATTCAGATGTAAAAAATTTAAGCTTAATTTTATTTATAATTAGGAAAGTAGGCGTTTCCATATATATATATATATATATATATATATATATATATATAATCTATTCATAATCAATTTCTAAAACTAATTTTAAATAGCTAATTCAGTAATCAGCTAACTTGAAGATGATGTATAGATTGCTTTCCTTCATAAATCTTACCTTGCCAAACAAATGGGCCCATTACGAGGGCATACACTCATCTTGACCTCCAGGGGGCGCGACGCAGTCTTCCCCAGTCATGAGGCATGGTTAATGCCAAAATAATTAATTAATTAATTAATTAATTAAATTTAAAAAAAAAACTAAAACTAACAGAAAACCAAAACATAAAACAAAATTTTAAAAAAGATGCTTTCCAAGGCGCTGCTGGATACCCTACCTGTGGGAGCCAGAGCCGAAGAGACCTCCACCATCTGCTTTACAATTGCCTGCCAACGGCCTCGCCTCTGGTTGTTCCTCTGCTCCGCGCACCAGGCCTCCTGCAGCTCTGCAGCTCCGCGTGGACTGTGAGAGATCAGAAACAATGTAAAGTTCTTTGTTAACTACTTTCCAAAATGACTTAAATGTTAACATCGACCCAAGCTCCTCACCTTTCAAGTGTTACCAGGGTGGACGCTGGTTCTCTTCCTGCGGGGTTTGGTTGTGTCAACGCCGCAGCAGAAGACCTTTAGGAACGTCTTCCAGGCCCTTTGCGCCAAGCCCGGCCGGGCCCGGGTGTTGGCTGCGGGGGAGGCTCGGGGGCTGCCCTCTTGGGGGGGGCTGCCGTCTTGGGGGGAGCTGTCAGGGGGGGCTCCCTCCTGGTTCTCCGCCTTTACAGCCTTGCTCTCACTGCTGCGGAAGCGGTTGCTGGTGCGGGGGGTGGGGGCGTCCCCCGGGCGGAGCTGCGGGGCTGGGCCGCGGGTCCCGGGCTGGAGCGCCTGCACAGGCTCCAGGGGAAGAGGGGAGGAGGCGATGGTCTCCAGGCTGGGCGGAGGCGCGGGCAGGGCATAGGTCTTTTTCACCGCCAGGCACAGGGGCCTCACCTTGGATGGTGTTGGCGAGCCCTCTGGCTGGAGCGCCTGCACAGGCTCCAGGGGAAGAGGGGAGGAGGCCATGGTCTCCAGGCTGGACGGCGGGGCGCTGGTCTTCGTTGCCCACCGGCAGGGGGGGCTCGCCACTGATGGTCCTGACGAGCCCCCCGATGCCCGGGACTCCTCGCGGCTGGAAGGGGTGGCGGCCCCAGTGTCAGGGGGCCGGTAGGGCCTGACCTTGACGGTGCGGCCCGGCATCCTCCCCATGGCCATCCTGCCCGTGGTCATGAGGAGGATGCGGTAAGTCCCCATTATTCGATCGAATGTCTGGCCCGCCACGGAGTCCCTGATGTCCTCCTCCCTAAAGCCCATGCCGCGCATGGTCTCCACCACCTGGGGGTCCAGGTCCTCCCCGGGCGGCTCGCTGTCGGGAGGCAGGTCTTCTGGACCCAGGTCCATCCAGGGCATCCGCATGGCCTCCTCCAGGGTCGGCCTCTGGTCGGGGTCGACCGTCAGGAGCCGCTGGAGGAAGCTCCTGCCCGCCTCCGACATGTAGTAGGGCGGCTTGTAGTGCCCCTCCAATATGCGCTGCGTGATCTTCTCGTTGCTATTGCCCGGGAAGGGCACGCGCCCCGTCACCGCCTTGTAGAGGGAGGCGCCCAGCCCCCAGACGTCGGCCTTGCGGCCGTCATATGGCTCGCCCCGCAGCACCTCGGGCGCCATGTAGTACAGTGTTCCCCAACAGCTGGTCAGCAGCTCGGTGGCCTCGTGGCTGAGGCCGAAGTCCGCCAGCTTGGCGGTGAGGTCTTCTTCTAAGAGGATGTTGTCCGGCTTGATGTCCAGGTGCGCGAAGCCGCGCTGGTGGCACAGGTGGAGGGCCACGGCGATCTGGCGGAACACCACGCGGGCCTGGCGCTCGGTGAGGCGGCGGCGCCGCTCCAGGTGCGCCTTCAGGTCCCCGCCGCGCACGTACTCCATCACCAGATGTACCTCTTCGGGGTCCACCACTACCTCCAGCAACCGCGAGATATTTCGGTGCTGTAGGGTTCTTAAACAGCGGAGCTCTCGGTAGGAACTGGAGACACCGACATCGCGCCGGATGATGCTCTTTACTACCACCTTGGTGTCCGTGGGCATGTGTCTGGCCAGCCGGACCTTCGAGCACGCGCCCTTGCCGATAGATTTCCCTAACACATAGTCTCCTATGCACTGCCCCTTGACGGTAGTCGGGATAGGGCAATGGGGCATGATTACAGCAAAAGAGTTAAAAATAAAAATGAAACTGCAGATTTGTCCTAGTTAGTCTCAGGTCACCTAGACGAGCTCCCTGCACTACACGGACTAAATCCTCAGCCCAGGCAGGGCCTTATGTATGGGAGTGGTTTGCAATTCCATCACACTGGCACTTTATGAGGTCAGAGCAACAAATGGACCAATCCCGGCTGGGGATGAACCACAGTGGTTTTTCTCACTTTTTGGTCTCATGACCCTTAAACTCTGTGAAAAACAAAAAGACACACACTTTTATTTGGGATATTATGTTGATATTTATTTATTTATTTAAAATATATTTTTATTAATTTTGTACAGAGAGGAAGGGAGAGAGATAGTTAGAAACATCGATGAGAGAGAGTCATCGATCAGCTGCCTCTTGCACACCCCGTACTGGGGATATGCCCGCAACCACGGTACATGCCCTTGACCGGAATCGAACCCAGGACCCTTCAGTCCCCAAGCCGACGCTCTATCCACTGAGCCAAACCGGTCTCACCTTGATATTTATTTTATTAGAAATAAAAATCTATGTAGGTGCACACATGCATGCACACACATACACACACACACACGCAAAAAAGAAAAGTCTGACTTATTCTCATGCTCCAGTTCTCAGTTCAAATATCACCTGCTTAGTTCTCAGTTCAGATATCCCTGATCCATCCATTCCTACCTACCTCACTCAGGCCATCACGTTTGTCATCTTCATAGCACCGACCACAGTGGGGCGGATTTTTGTTTACTGTCTGTCTTTCCCAGGAAGGAAGGAGCATGACTATAGTGTCCCCTGAGTCTAGCACAGTGAGTGGCAGCAAAGTAAGTATTTAATAAATGTTTGTTCACTGGATTAACAGGAGAGTTTGTGGTAACAAAACATGGCCAACTACTTAATCAAAGTGATCCATGAAATGTTTTAAAAAACAGTCATGTCCTGTCCTCAGGCAGCTTTTGGGGCAGATACGGTAGGACCAGGGAGGGCTGAGGTCTACGTTTCTAGCTACGTGGTTGCTCAGTGAGACTGAGGAACAGCCAGCTGATAGGAGCCTCGCTGTAAAGATTAAAGATTATTGGCCCTTCCACTGGCACTTCTTGCTAAGGACGAAAAAATTTGGACCTGCAGTAAGGCTGCAAGGTATGTTTACATTTTGAATACCCATTTCCAGATGACACAAAAGACTTCTCTGGATGAAAGAATGTCTACAGAGGTACAAAGGGTGGGGTAATATGTTGGGGTAAATTCTACCCTTTATGGAGGCAGAGAGGGAGCAGGCAGGCTTGAGGACACTTTGGGGGAGCCTCTGGCATACTCTATTCCATACTAATCCAAGAAAATTCCCTACCTTCAGTACATTGAGTGTTTTAATCACATGTATGTTATTCTAGTAATCATTTTCTTTTAATAGTTCCCAAAGTCTCAGCTTTGTGTCAAGGGAATCTTTAGAGGGATTGGCCTGTGAGCTTCTCCCTCTAGAACACTTTTGTTTGTTCATTTTTACCTTACTGCTGTGATACTTGGCTCCTAAACATCATAGTCTTTGCTGCTGAGCCGATTGGGACCCAAATGGGGGACATTTCATTATTCTAAAGAGATGTTTACAAGTTAGTCAGAGATTACAAAAAAACACAGGAAGGAAAGGAGAGAAACTTTCAAAGAAAGTTGCCAGAGTAAGAGTTAATTATATCTATTTGTAAAAATTGTATTAATAGTTACTTAAGAAATAATACCAATAGAATATATATTTTCTTAGCATAATCTCTTTCAGCAAGGTAAATACAGACTCAAAGATAAGACATTTAATGTAAAACTGTCAAGGGAAAAGTCAAGCTCAAAAGCAGAGAAAGGAACAGGCAATCCTTTTTTTCAATATGCTACATCAGTTATATGTGTCTAATTGTGCCCAGATGAGCATATAACTTTTTTATGTTTTTTCTTTTTCTTTTTTTTTTCTTTTTTTTACTTTCTTTTGTTTGATGTGTTTTTTCCCATTGACCCCCTCCTCTCCACATTCACCCCTCCTCAGCGTTCACCACACCATTGTCTGTGTCCATGGGCTATGCATCTATGCATTTAAGTTCTCCAGTTAATCTCTCCCCTCCCAACCCCAACCCCCGCCTTCCCTGTGAAATTCATCAGTCTGTTTCATGGTTCTACGTCTCTGGATCTATTTGTTCTATCATGTTATTTTGTTCATTGGATTCCACATATGAGTGAAATCATGTGATACTTATCTTCCTCTGGCTTATTTTGCTTGTAATATTCTCCAGGTCCATCCATGCTGTTGCAAAGGGTAATAGTTCCTTCTTTTTACAGCAGGATAGTATTCTATGGTGTAAATGTACCACAGGTTTTTTTATCCTCTCATCTGCTGATTGGCACTTGGACTGTTTCCAGATCTTAGCTATTGTAAGTTGTGCTGCTTTGAAAATAGGGCTTCATATATTTTTTCTGATTGGTGTTTTGGGTGTCTTCGGATTTATTCTTAGAAGTGGGATCACTGGGTCAAGTGGGGTTTTGTCTCCAGACAGAGCCCAGCTCTTCACCAACTTGGCCACTTAGACAGTTGAACTACAGCCCCAAACACTGAATACCACAACCAAGTCCTAAAAGACAGCAAGGGCAGCCCCTTTCTGACTAGTCCTGCCCTCCTCTGTCCTATCGCGGCTGCCGGCCTTGCCTTCTGGCCTCTGAGACCTCTGTGTGGTCTCACCTCTCCCAGGCGAGGACCTGGCCCCTGCTCAGGCAGCTTCCTCCTCGCAGAGCTGGGTCAGGCCCTGTTCTCTCCTGGACAGTGCAGTCTCTGCCCCTGCTGCCTCCCACTGGGGGACCTGTAAGGAAGGAGGTGAAGCATCAAGGTTGCAAAAGAGTTAGGAGGGGTGTACAATAAGTGTGAGGTGTAAAATAGTAATTCTGACATAAAATAAAAAGCAGGGCTCTGTGGGGAATACGGGGAAAGGAGCTGATAATGCTGCCAGCTGGTCAGAGCAAGGTCCAGGACAGTTTTCTGCTAATCACTTTCTCTAGTTTCGAAGAGAAACAATGGTCAGGGAGGCCGGATACTATAACTTGAAAGAGTATGAGCAGCAGTATCCAGGTTTTCAGGGAGTTGAGTGTTTTGCCCTGTTTGTGGGTCAGTTTTAGAATGTGCTCCAGCAGCTCACCATCCATTCTTTCATTGGTATAGCTTCATGTA